GTGAATCTCGATGTGCAGATTTCGTGGCAGGCGCAGCACTTTGTGAAGCTCGATGTGCAGATTTCGTGGCAGGCGCAGTACATTGTGAACCTCGACGTGCAGATTTCGCGGCAGGCGCAGTACTTTGTGAACCTCGATGTGCAGATTTCGTGGCAGGCGCGGTACATTGTGAACTTCGAAATGCTCCTATGTACTCGCCTATGTGCTCTCAGATTTGTGCTTGTATGTGCTCTCACATTTGTGCTCTCAGATGTGTGCTCTCATGTGCTCTCATATGTGCTCCCATATGCTCTCATATGTGTGCTCGCATTTGTGCTCGTGAATCTCGATGTGCAGATGTTCTTGAAGGGTTTTGAATTTCAATCGCACGCACTCGCAGCTTGCCACCGCGGAAAACATGCGCGTGTGCAGTCGTAGCTTTGTGTTTTACAACGACCTTCAAGCCATACTACTCTAGCATTTTTGGCACTACGCTGGTCGCACTCTCATGCTTACAACCTCATGCCTGGTCCCTCTGGTCTTTCACATGCTTCCGCATCTGCTGCTCTCATCTGTGCACTCTCCCATTTGTGCTCTTGTATGTCTCCTCTCATATTTGTGCTTTCATCTGTGTGCTCCTGCTTTCATTCCACGTGATGCCATGTTCCATCTGTTCCTCTTTACACTATTTGGGGTCCCTTGCCGGTGTAATTTTTAAAATTATGCCTAGCTATGCCTAGCTACCCAATATAGTACATTTCACAAAGCTACTAACTACTTCACGATTTAGCTTCTCCTTGCCTACCCCTTCCCAACAACAACTTAAACAACTTTCTTACAGGCCTCACACCTGGTATTCGTTTGCGGGCAATGGATCCCTATGGTTTCCATCAAATCTCTCGCAGTTTGAGATGCTGTTCAAGGGTTGTTCCTTTGTAATTCCTGCTTGGCTTCCAAGGTTCCAACTGCTTTGGGTTTGAGCTTTTGTGCAGCCTTTGAGGAGAGGGAACGATGATTTGACAACCAATCTGCTGCAAATGGTTTTTGGTTTTGGCTGAACAACTACTCTGGAGCAAAGTTGCAAGAGCATTACCGTTTTTGAAGTGCCATGAAGCGCATGAAGTGAGTAGCAAGGTGATGAGTAAGAACATACTGGTAGCTTGACACAGAAGGAGGGTGAGGCGATTGAAGGGCAAGCTTGGCGAGTTACAGCTTCCAGGAGCTTGATGGTGAACTCTGCCGTCCACCAATCCGCGCTTATATGGAAGCTTGTCCTGAATTTTGTTGCCATTAGGTTGGAGGCCATCGCTTCTATATTTTGATGCCAAATGTTGTGTGGCAAGTTCGATTGCCTTTGAGGAGAAACAATGCGCCCAAGTTGCAGAATCCTGGCGGGCATAGCTCAAACGTTGACCCAGCTTGCATAATTTCAATGCTCCATTACGAAGACCGCTGTCAGGAAGGCATTCTTGAAAAGGAGGATGTGGTGAATGAAAACATCAAACTGTTTGAGACAAAGTTCCAAAGCTTCAGGCGCTGCTGCAAACAGTCACAGTGACAGAGATCAACAAAGACAGACAAGCTGACAAGCACACAAGCATGTCAGTCACCGTGGACACACTGTCCATGAGACATCAGACTTGTCAGACTTGTCCGCTGTGAGGAATCGCATAAGTCAGTTGGACAAGTTCTTCGTCTCCAAGGATCAGATAGCAAATACCATGGGCTACAGAGGTGGCGGAGCAGACTGGGGGTCAGGCGGCTGGAGCAGCAACGGCTGGAGCAATGGCTGGGGCGGAACAACTCGTTCCGACGGCGGTCGAGCCTGGAAGAGTCAGAATGGTCGTGGCAAGAACTGAAGCGTTTTTCGTGAAAAGGAAGCGAGAAGTCTTCGAGTCACTGCGAGTCACTGCGAAGCTTTTTTTTGTGCAGAGAAAACATGAAGCAATGGCCTCCAATCTACTTTCGATGGCCTCCAACCTACTAGCATCCTTGCTACCAGAAATGCCCTTGTTACTAACTAGTAGCTTCTTGTTCCTAGTAGTATTGCCAGGAGCTACTAGTAGCTGAGAAGTGCAGAAGATTGCAGAAGCTGCCAAAAAGTGTCCATTGCTAAACGATGCTAAATGCGGCTTTTCGATGCACACTGGAGACTGACTTTTCGTAGTTCCTTGTTTGCTTGTTCGTGTTGTGCCTTCATCCATTCAGAAACCACTTTCCTAGCCTTCTCCTACAATTCAGATCATAGCTTATATGTCCTTTATCATAAAGCATTTACACCAAGAGCCTCTGGCACTTGTGGGTTCTCTTGTCCATTACCATTGCCAAGTTTGATTTACAACTTATGTCAGAACCGCAAGTATCCATCGTGCCCGCGCGCGGGGTCTGCGAAATTCGAAGCAAAGATGCGAAGACGCGAAGACTGTAGTATCCGTCATCCGGCTTTCTCCACTGGGGTTTTGCAGGCTTTTCAGTTGGCATTTAAACTCCATGGTTCACGAAATAGCAAAGCATACATAACTACTGGTCATATTTCCTTTGGTGAGTTTCATCATTAGCGTTTTCTGGTGTCATCTCGTGCCAGTCAGTGACACCTTGCACTCTGCCTAAACATCTATCACTCAAGGCTGCGAAAGACATCCTAAAATGAGCAGAAATGCATCCCCCAAAACAATCTAATTCCCCAAACAGGGTGGTCACACTAGGTGTTCTTGCCGTAACCGTTGAGACCCGGTGTTTGACCGAGGCGCTCGCGTCCGCGTCCGGCTAATTCGCTGCTATTTGCGGTTTTGACTGCGCAGGCTCGCAGAAATTGGTGGGCTGGAGCGAGTGCTTTCCTCCACTGCACTCTTGTTGTGGTGTCGTGCGCATTTTCGGGCTTGGTGAGTCTTTTTTCTCGCTGCACGCGACCGTGAAATACGTGTTGTTGCACCAACCTTTGCACTTGGTTTGTATGACGTTTCTACTTTCACTTCCTTTGGGTATACACACCACACAAAAAGATGAGCTAAGCCTGGTAGAAACCCCAAGCAGCTTGTGGAAGTGGCCTGTCCAGGCCCAAAGACGGAGTGCTGTCTTGGGCGAGTGGGAACAAGGGAGGGCATCTCCCCTGCTACCTGTCATGCGAGGATCCTTCACTTCAGTTTGCAGGGTCACCCACTGCCGGATGTCCTCAACATTTTTCAGATCAGTTCTTTCATGAAAGACAAACATGTATTACAACATACACACATCTGGTAGCCAATGGCAGAAGTCCCAGCTTTGGTAGTGTTTACCTGACACAGTTGCATGTCTCGGTCCACGTTGATCAGCTGAACCATCGAAATTGTTTGCCTTGCAAAGCATTGAAACAAAGCATTCAATCAACGCAAAGAATTAGAACACTACTAGGGGCTCCTGGCATCGCTACTGTCAGCAAGAAACTACCAGGGGCTCCTGGCCGTACTATTAGGAACAAGAAGCTGCTAGAAAGAAAAACCAAACTTTTGTTTTGAATACGACACCATGTCGCAGAGGGGTTTATGGGGTTGGGCCCGGGCCTCGGGCGATCTTTCATCGTGTTTGAGTTTGGAAAAGTGACGCTGCCTGAGGTGCATGAAGTGGGGAAGTCCTGTGGCTTTGCCCCGCAGTCGCAGACCACACCCATGTGGGTGTGGGCCGCAACTCACCAAAAGTGCTCAAAAAGAAGACTACAGTTTGTTGCCCATGCATGCAACTTTCAGCTAGACTCAGGTTCGAGCCCAGCCAGACCTCTTTCCAAATGAGGTGCAACCAGTTCTTTCCAGATTCGAAATAGGATGATTGCAGTTGTTTCCAACGTGGCTGCAAGTCAATTTGCTGCGTTTAGATCAGGCAAGCGGGCCACCCACAGCCATTTCATACACCCGAATCCGTACCTACCATCCGAACACAGGCAAGGACGCTACTAGGGGCTCCTGGCTGTACTACTAACAAAGGGCATCGCTACTAGGAACAAGAACACAGTTTGAGGAATTCGTATGTCTCAACCTTACTCATTTACCAGGTTGCACATCACCACATGACGTCATCTCACATCAAAGCATCACATCACACTTTACGCGCAACCAACTCTTTCCGGTCAATCACGGTGAATCCTTAAAGGAGGTCGCCTATTGACGGTAAGGTAGGTCTGGTATAGGTGGGTTACTC